ATGCAGGACAGCGGCCCTCGAGGACTGGAGTTTGACACCCCTGACCTAGAATATTAAACATATTTTCAGTTGTTTCACACTTTTGTTAAGTATATAATTCCACATGTGTTAATTCACAGTTTTGATGCCTTCAGTGTGAMTCTACAATTTTTATAGTCATGACAATAAAGAAAACTCTTTGAATGAGAAGGTGTGTCCAAACTTTTGGTCTGTACTGTACATTTACCTATGTCTGAATGGCAAGTGGCATGGGATTCTGAAATGCTTGTTGAAAAGTATACCAATCTTTCTTTGGGTATACACAATCAAAACCCTTGGGACATGTGTGGGTGCCCTTAGATACCCTCATACCAGTTAGTCCTGGTGCAAGATACAACCTGGACTCATTCCAACCCACAAAGAGACCCTAATCAGACTCTGTCAAGTCCTGGTAATGTGGTATAATGTGTCTTTTTGACTTTCATTGGGACAACAAATCAGTTTTGTAATAGTATTTCATCAGCTTTACCACAATCCAGCACCTTTTTTTGGCCCAGCCGTGCTACCTGATGTATCCCTCCACGCTGCTCTGTCCCCTGAGTTGGTCCTCCATGAGATACGTGTTGTGGGAGGAGGAGATGAAGTAATGGCACAGGGGCTGGCTCATGTCCTGGAAGATGCCTCTCCGCTGTGGGTTGAAGACAGAGCCATCCGATGAGCCCAGATATATCAAGAAGCCGTCAAAGGTCATGACCTTCATGAGCTTGGCTGGACGGAGATAGAACAGAGTCAGAATCTCTTTATATATCACCAGAATGTGACACGTGATGCYACTACATTCAGTAGAAAAAGCCAATATTTCATTAGGATATGTGACCAGTGAGTTATGGTGAACARCATTTGCGAAGGAGTCTTGTAAATGCTCCAAAATATTCGCTGGGGTTCTAAAATTCCTTGTGTAAGTCACAAAGACTTACAGATTTGTTGCTTAAATTTATGACAAATTCTCTCTCAAAAYAGCTGCAGAATTGTTGTGGGCAYCTCAAACTTGTCTCAAACCCATCTCACATTAGTTTCTTGTAGGGTTTTCTTGCAAATTTGAGTCGCCAACTAGCTTCCAACAGTTATAGCCCAGTGGGATGTTGGGTTAAGAAAAGATGGTACTTCGAATTAGCTTTTTTTTTTATGTGGCTTCAGGATGAGACTGACAACAAGTTATCTACCTGTGTCTGAGGGTTCATAGCACTCAATGAGCTGCATGGCGTGTTCCTGGATGTTGCCTGTCTCCAGTTGCTCTTCTCTCAGGAATTCCTCCAGGTCACTCTGTGACAACTTCTGACCATCCGTCGAGTACTCCTGGAAAACTTGTGATATATCTTCCCGCTCAGTCARCATCTTGTAGAACAACACAAATTCATCATCTTCCAGGGAGCCAGTTTGGGATTTATCTGCCATCTGAATGAAAACAATAAGAACATATAACAGGGCTTTTGTGTTGAATATTTTAGTTTTCTTTATTTATTCATGTATAATACTAGAAATTTAACCCTAAAAATCATACATAACGTGGGGGCATAGTATTATACACGAGTTATTGATGAATAGATTTTTAAATGCTTTTTAATCTCAAAAAATGATGATCGTATGATCGTATTATACAAGAATTCGGTATTTTTCTCAAAAGCTCTCACTGTGAACAGATGAAGAGCATGGTCTTCATTCATATCAACGTTCATCATTTTCAACAGGTCTCGCACTTCCTTGAAGTTCATCCTGCCGTCGTTGTTCTTGTCTGCTTTCTTGAACCAATCACTGATCCATCTGAAGACAGTTCCTTGAGAAAGTAAACTGCTGAGAGTGGAAGAATCTTGTGAACTATGCATTGCATAACTTTTAAATTAAGGTTAAACAAACTAACCAAAGCATTAGCTTAACTAAATCTTAACCCACAAACCAAAAATATAACTTTGTTAAACGTAAAGTAACGTAACATAATGCTAAACGTAAAAAACATTAGCGGAAACTAACACTACACAGCTAAATGTAAAAAAATAAGCTACAGCTAATTTCTAACTGCTAAGACGACTGTCTCTCAGTCTGTCACATATCTTYATTTCCTTCCAGCTGAAGACTGGTAGGACTGACCTGTTGATGTTAGCTTGTTATTTAACTGTTAGCAGATCTAAAGTTGTCAAAACATAATTTAGCAGAAACTAATTGATCTCATAACGATTTTTAAAGTTAGTGATAAAGATAATATGCTAAATAAAAAAAACTGTTCTGCTTTTAGTTGATTAGTGGAACTATCCCCACCACTGGTATTTGGTAAATGCCTTGTCACTAAGAGGTCCTGTGTAGAGACAGGTTGGACAATAGAAGGTCTACATTAAGGATACTGGTCCAGTTTTTCCCTGTCTCCCATGTTTTCCAAATTTTCAATCAGTTTCCTCATGCCCTTGATCCAGGATTGGGCCTCCTCGGCTGATTCAGCCACCAGGTCCAGGTTGCTCCGCCGACCTCGGAACACCAACGTGAAGCACCTGTCAGCTGGGAACTCGTTGGCGATRCTGAGCAGCACCTCACTCTGGTGGCCCTCTCTCACTGCCTCCACGTCGCTCACAGAAACTGGATCATATTCACATWCAGATATATAGGCAGAAAACATAATCTTATGGTTGGAGGATTATATGAAAAAAAATTACCAAATTGTTCATGTTCTTACACGTGCAGTGGTCATTCCCAGCCTTTTTAGACTGATACCAGATGGTCATGCAGTCATCCTGCAGCTTGAAGTACCGCTGTTTTTTCCAGGTGCGAGATTTGATTTTCCGCATCATCGACCCCAGCAACATTGACTGGAGGTTATCATCTCCCCGAATCCCTAAATATATATGAATAAACAAAGCCAACACATTGTCTGACCATCACTTACTGAACATTCACGGGGAAATGTTTATTCAATTATAAGTAAGAGAAACCTTTAAAATAAAAATTAGCCCCTTGCTCTACTCTTTGCTTCGTTCGAGGGTCTGGAATAGGGTTGCCAACTCAGCTGAGAAGGAGTTCTCTGCAGACTCAAAGTAGGTGTTTCTCAAGCATAAACACTGATTGGCTAGTTGTATTTGCTTTGTTTTTCAAAAAGGTTGGTTCTTCTCTTTCGTTTTTCCTTCACTTTTSACTTTAACTACTATCATGTTCATTTTAGCAGCAAAAACTGATTGTTTTTTTAATGAARCCGCAATGTATCATTAAAAACAAACATTTAGTTCTCCCTATTTGTAAATGTCAAAAAAAAAAAAMCCACTACCGACTGATGTTGCTCTTATTTTGAAATGTAACCTGGAGCTTAAGCGGAAATAATGAATGAAGACGTAGGGTCCGACACAGGCGGCGTCTTCAGCTAACATAATCTGCCAGTTGTTATTATTCCCAAGTCTTCTAACTTCCTCTGTAACAACAAGTTTATGAAACTAAATAAATATGAAAGTCCATTTAAAATAATTTACCATATAAAACAATTTGACTTGACTTACGGATGTCACTCTCTGTAGAAGCCATGTGTTGTTGCCTTATGATGACATCTAAAGAGAAAAGCATAACAATGAATGCTATCAGTGAAAAGCAAATTTGATTTAAAGACTAGGACTTGATTAAAATTTGAAAAAAAAAACAATAAAATTAAAGACCTAGCAACCCTTGAAGGAATGCAAACTTTCATGCCTGAGTATTTTTTTTAAATAAATGATCTTATGTTGAGAGTAAAGCTGCTCTTTTGGTTGAAAATAGCTTTATGCACAGTGGTAGGAATAAACTAATAGCAGAACTAATTTTCTGTAAAAAAAAAAAAAAAAGTAAGTAAATTTTATTTATATAAGTAATGTTTTGCCAACTTTAAGTCTGCTAACAGCTAAGTAACAAGCTAACATYRACAGGTTTGTGTCAGTCCTACCAGTCATCAGTTGGAAGGAGACGAAGACATGAGACGCAGATTGAGAGACGGTCAGACTGTCTAACCAGTCTTAGTGATTAGCTGTCAATGTTAGCCTTCACAAAAATTTGTGTGTTTAGTGGTTTAGCTTTATTGGGCTATATTTTCAGCTAGCGGATTATGAGTCAGCAAAACTTTTTTTAGCTGTGACCAACACTGTTACATCATTAAAGTTGACCACAACAATAGTAAATTTAACTGAGTTATAGCCTTGTAGCCATGTTCTGGCTAATGCCATTTAGTTGTACTGTTAAGAACAACAGTTCCCAAAGTTCAAAATGATTTCATACACACTCTGGACTGCAAAAAATTCTGTTCTGCACTTTTTATTGACCTGTCCAAAACATTTGACACAGTTGGTCACAGACGACTGATAAACATCCTGGAATATTCAGGTCTATCAAAATGCACAGTCTCCTGGTTTGCTTACTACCTGACCGACAGAACACAATCTGTTCATGTGGCTGGTTCTACCTCTTCCTTTTTAGATGTAGTCAAAGGAGTGCCACAAGGTTCTGTTCCGGTTCAATTTTATTCTCAATCTATATCAATGAATTATGTAGCAATCTGTCAAATGCTTCCTATATCATTTTTATGCAGATGACACCATTATTTATTTGTTACTGCTCATCCTCCCTTACTCAGGCTTTTACGTTACTACAGGACACCTTTAATGTCATTCAGTCCCGTCTCCACTTAAGTTGGTTTTAAATGCTAACAAAATCAAGCTCATGGTACTATATAACAGAAAACAACAACCATGGAGTSTCCTGCAAATTGTAACCCCACAAGGAAAACAAATAGAACTGTGTGACACTTACAAATACCTGGGTTTTATCATTGATAGTGACCTATCATTTAAAGCTCACATTGCTAAATTGGCAACTAAACCCAAGTTGAAGCTAGGTTTTAATTTTAGAAACAAAGCCTGTTTTTCAGCTAAGTAAGAAACACCTTAGTAGCTGCAACCTTTATGCTTTACTGGACTATGGCGATGTGCTGTATCTGAGTGCTGCATCAAAATATCTCCAGTCCTTAGACTATGTCTACCACAGGGCCCTGAGGTTCATCGCAGGCTCCAGTTACTTCACTCATCACTGTGAGCTGTATGTTAAATCAGGTTGGTCTTCACTCCCAACTCGCAGATACACACACTGGATATCTCTAATCTACAAGACACTCCTGGACTTAGTTCCAACTTACTTAAGCACCTTACTTCAAAGAACCAATGACCACTACTCACTACGATCCACCAACGTTATCCTCCTGATGGTAACTTGTGTCAGAACTGAACTGGGAAAGAGAGCRTTCAGCTATGCTGCCCCTGTAGCTTGGAACACGTTGCAAATGGATCTGAAACAGTCAGGACTCATTTCATTAAGATCCTTCATTTCAAATGTAACAGTGTTACCAAGAGCTTTGATCGATGTTGATGGTTTTAAACATCACCTATTCAGTCACTAGCTGTATTGTGTCTGTATTTCAAACATTGCCATTTCTTTCATCATTCCTAATTGCACTCAGTCCTGGAATTCTAGCTGCTGTCACTGCCTAGAAGCTTGAAATCTTTCACTGTTTGAAACCTGTTACACCTGTACAACATTGTTATGCTCTTAATTGTAAACTGGTTTTAATTGTTGTATGGTTTGTGCTATTGACCTCTTGGCCAGGTCACCCTTGGAAAAGAGATGATGAACTCAATGGGTTTTATCTGATTAAATAAAGATGATTGAACATGTCATGTTCTATGGATTGCCCATAAATAACACGGATTTCCCCCCATTTTGCAGGTATTCAGACATATAGGGTAATCTCACAGCTTTTTTCAAAAACTCAGCTTCAAATTCATTTTGTCTCATAGCTTGTAGGACTTTAAAAAATAAACAAATAAAATTAAATAACCATCTCCTAACTCGCTGCTGCTAGAAATAAGTTCTCCACCTCTCYCAGTCCTCCTTTCCCTGCCTGTTACCTCCGCCCCGCCTGTCCCTGTGGCTGAAAGTCTCTCCCCCCACAGGTAAACCTCTAAAGGGGTTGACATGTATGCTGAACTGTGTTGACTCCAGATGTTAATCAGGTATAGATGAACACCTAATGATTACTTTCTAAGTTTCACTAAAATCTGTCCAAATGTTTTAAATTGTACATAAAAGTGTGCACACAACAGATTCTTCTGTGTCTTACAAAGGATGTAAGAAGTTCAGTATCATCCTGGTGCTGCTTATCAAATGCATTAATAAACTGATCATCATTAATATGAGCAGAGTTTGGCTGCTCTGGAGCATTCAGGTCTGTGTTAACACAAGGGTGAATAAACATCAACAGTGACCTTAGAGAACGAACTGTTAATACCCATCAAGGTGGAGGGGGTTAAAAGTCATTTCCAAACAGTTTGGAGTGTTCTACTGAGAGAAAGATAATTCAAAAATATTTAGGATAGTTGCCAATCTGCCCAGCAGTGGATATTCCAGCAAATTCACCCCAAAGTCAGACCGTGCAATATACAGAAATACAACCAAAAACACAATGACCCACAGGACTCCTGGGGCACGATTACCCATAATACACAGCACCATGTTTGGAGAAAACAGAATATCAGCAACTCAACATATCAGCACAAACAGCTCATTAAAATGATCAAACATGGTGGTGGGAGCTTATGGTTTGGGTCTGCACTGTCTACTGGTTTCTGTGTATCTTTAGCTGCAGACACACAGAACCCAACAACAGCAGTTTCATTGTTCTGCCTGTCGGGACATCAGCTGGCTCTTCCTGCTCATCTCAGTGCTGTTCTGCTTCTGTATTCTGCCATCACTGTGCTTTTGTTGTTAGCTTTGTTGAGCCAACTAATCTTCCCAAATCCCCTGATGTGTTTCACTTTTGAATTTAGCTCACCATCTGCGCCGCTTCATCTAAACATCTGGGGWCAGATTTATAAAAGATTGTGTGGAAACCATACTAAAAGTGAACGTACGCCCAAAAGGCGAAAATGGCGTATGCCAAAAAAAATTCAGATTTATAAAACCGTGTGTACACATGTTTCTGCACATCTTTCCTTTATAAATCACAGCTGTACCTCAGAGTTTGTACACGAGGTCCCGCCTCAGGTTCTACCCTCTACACGCCCACATTCAACCATAAACAGTCAATGYAAAGTACCTCATGAATGTTAAGATGTATTTAAATCAGTCAGCTGATCAATGTCAAAAGAAGTGATTGGTTAAGACACGCTCTGTCGTGCATCTGGATGATGACAGGTGCTGAAAGCTGCTCATGTGAACAAAATGTCTGAAATGGACACAGATTTTCCCTCATTTTGCAGGTTTACAGACATTTAGAGTAATCTAACGATTTTATCAAAAACTCAGCTTCAAATTAATTTTCTCTCAGAGCCTGCAGGACGATAAAAACAATAAATAAAATAAAATAAGTCAGATAAAGTTAGAAATAATTTCACCACTTGTCTCCCCGTCCTCTGTTATCTGC